ATAAGGGAAAGTGCTTTGTTTTGTTCTTAGGATAAAAGGAACCGTTTCAATCTATTCTATATAGAGATAAAGAAGCCTTGAGATGAATGCATAGGTATGTCCTGGCAGGCCTAGTAAAATATTTTACATGAGAGCAATCAGGCATAATGAGGTTCTCAATTATTGGATAACCTCAACATAAAGCAAAATCCATGAAAGTGCTACCTCTAACAACTCCCGTGCAACTTATTAGAGAATAAGGCAAAGACAAAAAAAACTGGGGGGAGTGGATTCCTCCTTGTCTGAGACAAAGGATAAATTCAACACAGACATCAAAGGTAGGAAGAAAGGAATCCTCATTTTAGATAGTCTTTCTATACAGAAGCTACACTGTAATGCCATTTACTTGAAATTTACATAATGCTTAATGTCCCTTAATAACTTTTAAAATGAAAAGTAAAACCATTTTCATCGCTGTAGGGAGAAGAGAAATGTTGATCATGAGTTTGGGGTATAAAATATCCAGACTTTTATTTTACAAATATAATTTTCAGATTGAATAACTTGTAAAACTACGTAGGAGAAAGGAAGGTGTTTTTATCCTGTTGTATTTAAAAATAAAAATAATTCGATGCACTTAAGCTTTCTGGGGGCGGGGGTAATAATTAGACATAGAGAGATGCTGGTAGTGGTTAATGAGTAGTATTTGACTTGCACTGCTATCGGCTTATGTTGGGCAGCATCTTTAAAATGTTCAACTCACAATCTGCTCCATTTTCTTGTTCTTTCCTGTCAAAAAGAAGGAGGGAGGCAGTGCTGGGCAGAAGATGTCAGAAAGAAAATAGGGTAATGAAAAAAGGGAGCAAAGATTTCAAGAGACTATTTACAGAGAATGTGAATGTCGCCCCTCTTCTGTGGGTTGGACTGTGTCCTCTCGTATTCAGAAGTGGTCCCTGAGGCCGCATCACTGCCACGTTGCTGCACAGTTGTCAGACACAAAGAAAAAGGGTTGGAGGTTGTTAGCACATCTCCCTCCGAAGAGGAAACGGCTCCTCCATACCACAAGCAAGTGCCAGAGGGAGTTTGTCTTTCCTCCATGCTTGGGTAGTCGCTCTTTCCTAATACCTAGGGAAGAATTAAGAGTGTGAGCCTCGAACTATATTACATACTCAATCCTGAACAGCTGGGTCGCTAATACAATCTAAAAAGAAAAGATATCTGATTGTTCACCATCTATATGGAGTATATTCACAATAAATCTCTCAAGGAAGAGGTATGAAAGGTTCCTATGTCTGTACAACTACAGGAAGAACATTAGGCAAGTGTCCAGCGAGACTCATTAACAGAGACAAACAATACGCAAAATCCCCAGGGACTTGCTCCACATTTCTATTAGTAATAACAATTAATTTCACCTGAAAAATGCTAGTAATTTTCTCACTTGCAAAATTCACTTTGCTTAAGGACACACTTTTTCTTAATGGTCTGAAGATCTTTTGTGATCTAGAGTTCATATGCAATAGTTTGTCATACTTTTTTTTCTTTGCTCTACTTCTGATAAGAAAATAGTAAAACAGATTCAAATGACTTTCTTTTATTAGTAAGGTACCATGATTTACATGATTTAAAGTTACATATGGTTGAGTTTCAGGCATAGAATGTTCCAGTACCAATCACATCACCAGTATCAACTTCCCTTCAATTTTCTCCAGTTTCCCTGACATCCCCCAGCCTTCCTCCTTGAGAGGCACGTTTTTAAATTTGGTTGTTGTAGTCTGGATCCCGTGTTCTCGGTATTATGAGACTGTGGTTTAAATAGATAACTCTGACACCCCTCGACACCCCTCTGTGCCACCAATGTGCACCTGAGGGCCTTGACACCTGCGCCCTGTTATTTCCCATCTACCTCTTATTTCCCCCACTTCAGTTTCTTTTCTTCCCTGTTCTCCTTCCTATACTCAGGGGTCAAAGGTGATCTAGGTATTTCCCCTTTACAACATTGCATTCCCTCATCCAATCATTCTGTCTACCACAGAGAGATGAAATCATCGTGTGTTTGTCCTTCTTCTGACTTACTTCACATAGCATGATAGCCACCAGTTCCATCCAAATTGCACTTAATTGCATTATTTAACTATTTATTGCAGTTGTATAGTATTCCAATGCTTGAGTGAGCACGCATGCACGCACACACACACACACACACACACACACACACACACACCTTCATATTCATAACCCACCCTTCGTATTCATAATCCAGTTATCTGACTTGGACACATTGGTTGATTCTATGTCCTAGTTATTGCGTTAAGGCTGCAATGGATAATAATGTTGTACAAATGTCCTTTTGAATGAATGTTTTTGTGTCCTGGTGGTAGATACCTGGAAGTGGAATTGCTGAGTGATATAGCAGCTTCACTCTTACTTTACTTAGAAATCTCCGTACTGTTTTTTATAAGGGATAAGCCAAGACAACATTCCTGCCAACAGTGGATGAGAGTTCCTTTTTCACCACCTTCCTGCCAACAAAGATTGTTCCCATTTTTTTTGTATGTTCCATTTTCACTGGTGTGAAATAGCTCATTGCCAGAATGACTAAGTTTTAAGAAGATTCAAATGATAAGATGACCAAGTGTTAGCAAATCCTATGCTACATATGAAATACCTACTAGTATGAATAAGAATTTTAATTCTAATCTGGATGGTTGTGGTTAAGAACAAGAATAGTAATTATTATCAAAAGGGTGTTTTTCCCTTGGATTTTGCTTGCAAAGTTCAGCCACCTCTACAGCATCCCCAGTCTCAGGGCTAACCACATAATAATGGCTACTAGCAGATTGACACCAATAATAATTGCAGGATATTTGTTAAAGATAATTTACATCTTGGTGATGGAGAGGGTATAGAGTGGATATGGCACTTGGCTTGCATGCAACTGATGTAAGTTTGATCCCTGGCATTCCATGGTCCCCTGAGCACTACCACAAATGATCTCAGAGCACAGAGCTGGGAATTAGCCCTATTTCACAGTCAAGGATGCCCCCCCCCATAAAATAAGCCTCAAAATGATAGTTTTTATCTTCAATTACTATTGAAATATTTTCTCGTATTTGTTAGAAAAGAATATCTAATTCCCTTAGTATATGTCTCTGTCATGTATTGTTAGAAATGTGTCTATTGTGGTAACTTAGAATTTATAAAAATAAAATCAACTCAGTATCCAGGAAGATACCTATCGTCTTGTGCTTTAAACCAGGGGAGCAAAACATGTAGTTCATTATTTTGTTGTCTTGTTTTGTTTTGGGCTGGAGCGATAGCACAGTGGTAGGGTATTTGCCTTGCATGCAGCTGGCCCGGCTGAGCCGGGTTCGATTCCTCTGCCCCTCTTGGAGAGCCCAGCAAGCTACAGAGAGTATCTCGCCCGCACAACAAAGCGGGCAAGCTACCCGTAACATATTCAATATGCCAAACACAGTAACAAGAAGTCTCACAATGGAGATGTTACTGGACCCGCTTGAGCAAATCAATGAACAACAGGAGGACAGTGCTACAATGCTTGTTTTGTCTTGTTTTGGGACCACACTCAGCAATGCTCATGGGTTCCTCCTGCCTCTGCACTCAGGAATTACTCCTAGCAATGCTCAGGGAAACGTGGAATGCTGGAAATCAAACCCAGTTTGGCTGCTTGCTAAGCAGGAACCTGATCTGCTTCTCCTTGTGTGGTTCACTAATGTTAAGTTTGATTCATGTGGCGGTAAAGGATCATTAAGAGATCAAAATCTGTATAGAGTTCTTAAAATTGTTTATTTGATATATCAAGAAATCATTCTTCCTGACTCAGGTTTATTAGAATAATAAAGTAATATATATGATCGTGTATATATATAAAAAGGTAAAGGTAAAGGCCCTCCCGTTGTTTGTCGATTTGCTCGAGTGGGCCCAGTAACGTCTCCATTGGAGACTTTGTTGTTACTGTGTTTGGCATATCGAATACGTCACGGGAAGCTTGCCAGGCTCTGCCGTGCGGGCGAGATCCTCTCGGTAGCTTGCCAGGCTCTCCGAGAGGGGCGGAGGGATCGAACTCGGGTCGGCCGTGTTGGCTGCGTGCAAGGCAAACGCCCTACCGCTGTGCTATCGCTCCAGCCCAGGAGTTCTGGGCTGTAGTGCGCTATGCCGACCGGGTGTCCGCACTAATTTCGGCATCAATATGGTGACCCTCCGGGAGCGGAGGACCACCAGGTTTGCCTAAGGAGGGGTGAACCGGCCCAGGTCAGAAACAGAGCAGGTATATATATAAAGGCATTGAAAAGTGTCTTTCTCTTTTGGGATTTAAATGCCTGTTATGGAATTTTTACATCAATACAGGTTTTCGATCATTTTTGGTTCATTGAATAAAGTGCATATGCGGGGAAGGGGACAGAGAGAGAGGACAGCTGGGAAGGTGTTTGCCTTGCATGTGGCAGATACTGGTTCAATCCCTGGCATGACATATGGTCTTCTAAGCCCCTCCAGGAGTGATCTTGGAGCACAGAATCAGGTAAAACAAAATAAAGTAAGGTAGATATGTCACCATAAGCCTTCTTCTTTCAGGGATACTTGATCAACTTCCAGGGTTTGTTTCTTTTCAATGTTGTTTGGGTTGGTGTTTTTTGGTTTTTGGTTTTTGGTTTCAGACATTAGAGTATATTTCCTCAGAATAGCTTTTCTGAAATGAAATTACTATATCAAATGGTATGAATATTTTAAAACTCCTCTTTCCAAACTAATGCTAAGTAGCTTTCAAAACAGGTCTTTATTAATTTACCTTATACTAGCAATATATGAGAATTATAGCTGGATCCCAAGCTAAACAACTGCTAATAAGACCATATTACTTTTATTTGTGTTTATTTCGGCTTGAAAGCTTTTTGCAAGTATTCACTTAAAGATAATGTGTTTATTTGACTATCAACTTTTTGTTTTCTTTTGTTTTCAGTTCCAGTCTCACCTGCTTTCTTCACCTTTATTGTTTTATCCAGGCTCTCACGATTCATTTAGCTACTGGGTAGATGAGAAGTCCCCAGTGGGACCTGACCAAACCCCAGCCATCAAACGCCTCGCCAGGATCTCTTTGGTGAAGAAGCTAATGAAGAAATGGTCTGTTACCCAGAACCTGACATTCCGGGAGCAACTCGAGGCTGGGATCCGCTACTTTGACCTGCGCGTGTCTTCCAAACCAGGGGACGATGACCAGGAAATCTACTTCATCCATGGGCTTTTTGGCATCAAGGTCTGGGATGGACTGATGGAGATTGACTCCTTTCTTACACAGCACCCCCAAGAGATTATCTTCCTAGATTTCAACCACTTCTATGCCATGGATGAGGCGCATCACAAATGCCTGGTTCTGCGGATCCAGGAGGCCTTTGGAAACAAGCTGTGTTCTGCCTGCAGCGTGGAGAGTATGACGCTGCAAACCCTGTGGGAGAGGCACCACCAGGTAGGCCAATGCAGGACAAGCTTTCAAGGGCAAGAACCAAAGTCCCTGCTTTTTATTCTCTGGCCCTTGGCCCACTCCAGGAAGTACTGGGAACCTACAAAGCAGAGAGTGTTTGGAACAGTAAACTTATACTCATTGGTTCCCGGTCTCTAAGATAGCTTTAAGAGAAACTATGAACTCTATTGAACTGGGATTGACACATGCCAAATATTTACAACTTGCTTGGAAATTTGCCAAAAATTTAAATGACGTGTGTGTGTGTGTGTGTGTGTGTGTGTGTGTGTGTGGCGATTAAATCCAGGGCCTCACACATGCGAGGCAAGTGCTCTACCTCTGACTCACACGCCATGCCACAAGCACTTTTTAAATAGCTTGGTCAGAACCAGCCCAAGGCAAAATAATGAAGCAGAACCAGTAGTTCCGGAGTGACAAGAGCCAGGATTCAATCATCTTTGTTGGACCCTGCCTAGCTCCCCATTTTCTGCTCCTCTTCCAGGGCTGGTGAAAATTTGGGGGGATTTTCACAACTTGTATCTTAGATTATGCTAATTAAAGTTCCTTGTTTGTGTCAAAGGATTAGCAAAATAAGAAGAGTCAGGGCTTTCCACAGGCAACGAAAGTGCTCTCCTGCTGAAGTACATCCTGACACAAGAAAGTGAATCTAGGTTCAATCTGAGCAAAGCTGAAGTTTATATAGACATGTTTGCTTTAAATCTGATTTTATGATTTTGTACACAGAGAGTACTGTGGGTGGATTGCCATATCGCATACTAAATTGTTTAGAAATATGCAGGAGTAGCAACATCTTTAGGAATGATAATGAGTCTGGGGGATGATTTTCTCGCCGCCTATCTAGATAGTGATGATCCATCTTTGTGTTTAAGTTTGGGCCAATCTGTCACACAATTACAAGTATGCTTAAAATTATGAAGAGATTAGAGAAAAAGGCAGCATGTTAACCATTTGGATTCTAGGATCTCTGTGTTCCTCTTCCTTTGTTAATATTTCCTGCCACTTTTCTGCTTAAAGGCTTAAAGACATCCAGGGCTGCAGTGATAGCTGAACAGGTAAGGCATGCCTTGCAGGCAGCTGATCCAGGTTAGATCCTTGGCATCCTATATCGCCTTGAGCACCACCATGAATGGTCTTTGGGAGGAATCAGGAGTAAGCCCTGAGTACAGCTGGGTGTGCTTCCCCCCCGCACCTCGACCCCCTCCCCACCGCAACCACCCTTTCTCCTCAAGCTAAAGACATCCAGAGTCCTCCAGAGTCATCGTTTCATCAGCCAGTTCCCTCCTGCCTGAACTATTCCCTCCTTCCCTCTACTGGCCATTAAAACTTTATGTAACGGGCGGCCTTGCATGCAATCCCCTGAATACTTTTTTATCAAAATGTAATAGCAAGTAGAGTACAACAATTCGACCAAATTTTATTTATTCAACATGCATTTATTTCACTCACAGTGCACAGGTATATTCTGCATTTGTGATCAACTAAGATTTATAGATTTCATCGATAGCTTGGCAGAATTTAGAATCATTTTTTAATTTTTTTTATGTTAGAGAGGCTGGAGGAAGTCTTTTTGTTGTTTTTTGGGGGTGAGGGAGGCAGAGTCACACCCAGCAGTGTTCAGGGTTTACTCTTGGCTCTTGACTCAAGAATCACAGCTGGGGCTGGAGCAATGATACAGCGGTTAGGGCGTTTGCCTTGCATGTGGCCAACCTGGGTTCGATTCCCAGCATCCCAATATGGTCCCCCGAACACTGCCAGGACTAATTACTGAGTGCAAGGCCAGGAGTAACTCCTGAGCATCTCCGGATGTGACCCAAAAAGAAAAAAAAAATCACAGCTGGCTGTGCTCAGGGAACCATAAGTGATGCTGGGAATTGAACTAACGCCAACTACCTGCAAGCGTTTTACTCACTGTCTTATCTATTGGGCCCCCAAAATAACCCTGACCAGCCAGGTATTTCAGTGCACAGTCTCTTGGTTTTGTTTTAGAGCCGTATGCTACAGTGTTCAGGGATCCTTTAGGGTACCAGGGAATTGAAGTCAGGTCAGGTGAGGGCAAGGCAAATGCTTTAGCCACTGTCGTATCTCTCTGGCCAGAGCTGGAAGAACTTTAATGTTTGTGCAACTTTAATGTTTGTGCAAATTTAATGTTTGTGCTGTTCTGTGCTGTACAGGAGCTCATGCAAACTGCCAGTTCTAATCACCCTGGGCAGACACACCCCAACAGTGTGGTCTTGTCTTGTTGCAAAGGAAGATAGAACATTATTTCCGCATTTTGAATGTTCCTGAGGCAGATAAAATTGAGGGTTCCATTAATATGCTAAAAAGAGTATTTAGAATCTTAATGAAAAGGTGAGACTATGGAACTCTAGCAAAACAACTCAATATACAGTGGCAAGAAAAATGTTTCATATGCACTGAATGAAAAAAGGAAGCTTATAACTGACTAATCAATTGAAAAGGTACATGGGACTTTTTAGTCAAGGACCCATCAGAAAAAGATCAATGAAACAGTTCAGGGAATAATCTTTTGTTTTGTTTTGGGGCCACACCTGGTGGTGTTCAGGGCTTTCTCCTGGCTCTGTGCTAAGGAATCACCCCTGAGGATGCTCGCCCCCAACCAGTGCCATGCAATGCCAGGAATCAAACCCGGGTCAGTTGTGTGCCAGTCAATGCAAGCACCTTCCCAAGCTCTAATCTTTCTGGCTATGGTAGCACTGTCCTCCTGTTGTTCATTGATTTCCTCGAGCGGGCACCAGTAACATCTCCATTGTGAGACTTGTTGTTACTGTTTTTGGCATATCAAATATGCCACGGGTAGCTTGCCAGGCTCTGCCGTGTGGGAGGGATACTCTCATCAGCTTGCCGGGGCTCTCTGAGAGGAACAGAGGAATTGAACCTGGGTCGGCCACATGCAAGGCAAACGCCCTACCCGCTGTGCTATCACTCCAGCTCCTTTCCAGCTATTAAGGAAAAAATGTTTTAAGAGATTCGATTTTGGTTTGGGGGGTAGGAAGCGAGGGACACGCCCAGCAGTGCTGTGGGCTGCTTCCGGATTGGTGCATGCTCAGGGGACCATGAGAGCAGGGGTCTGAACCCGCCACCTCCCACAGACAGAGCTGGTGCTCAGCCCTTCCACTCTCCCTCCGGCCGGAGAAATGCGATTCCTAATCTGTATTTCCAGGGAAAGGTTGAATGTATTTTCTCTGAGAAAAATTATGCCAAGCAGCGTATGCTAAACACAGGCCTTGAGCAAGAATTCCTGCCCCTTGGATTCTGCAGGGTGAGAGTTGGTTCACTTGAGGAACCTCTTCTGTCAGAATGCTCAAGAGGAGAGTGCAGTTGCCTTGAGACCATGCTTTGCGTGGGGGAGGATCGGGTTGGCTCTTTGGCACCACAGAGAGCCACCCCTGAGCACTGAGCCAAGACTGGCCCCTGAGCCCTGTGTGACTGCCACCTCCCACCCCAAAGAAGAAGGCTCTTGAGGTGAAGCATAAATCCCCTATTGTACAGTTTATACATTTGCAGGTTCCCCAAGGCAGATAAACTTTCTTCTCATCCCCTGATAGGTGACCCGTGGCCAGGCAGCGTAGGAAGTGGCCCCACAAGCCCTGTGAAAGGATCGCAGTGCCTGATGTGCACCCCCCCACACACCCACACCCACATACATACATCCACACCATTCCCACCCCTAATTCCTCATACAGTTTATTCCCAAGGTTGTCCTCCTCATTTCTGGATACTGGAGTCCCAGCTTCCCAAACTGGCCGACGATACCACCACCGCCTGCAGGAAATCCTTCCCGATCTCCCAGGCTATCTGCTTACTGTGAGCCTGTGATTAACCTCATTCACACACGTGTTTGCTCCAGACACCATTAGCCCCCAGATATTCCTCAAAACCATTAAAAACAAGAACAGTGATTAGCCTAGTCAGCCTATGCTATAGGTTACACCTGTGGGCTCTGCCTCCGGGTTCAAGTGAGTAAGTCAGGCACCCCAGTCATGAGCTAAGTGTACTCCGGCAGCCAGACTCATCCACACAGCCCAGCCCTCTGAGTCTGCTGCCTGGAGGATGCTGCACTCTGACCAGTCGTCCGGGAATGGCCGTCCAGGGGATGTCAAGCATGCATGGTGGACATTCCTCGGGGAAGAGATCACTGGGAATAGTCCCCGGTGCCCCAGACCCATGCTGCAGAGCTCTGAATTGGGACAATCAAAATAGCAATTCCCAGTCCCTCAGCTGCCTCTGAAAAACTAATTAATGCTGTGGAGGCCTTGCTAATTATATTCAAACGCACCCCATCATCCGGAGAGGTCCTACAGGAGGCCCACTGTCTCCTCAGTGTCTTCCCTTCCTCAAGTAGAGCACTCCCTCCCCCGCCTCCCGAAGAGAGCAATTTCCTTCAGGGTCAGAGGCACCCTGGAAGGCCTGCCTAGTCCCAATTATTATTATTTTTTTTTCTTTTTTGGGTCACACCCAGCAATGCACAAGTGTTACTCCTGGCTCTGCCCTTAGAAATTACTCCTGGTGGTGCTCAGGGGACCATATGGGATGCTGGGAATGGAACCCGGGTTGGCTGCGTGCAAGGCAAATGCCCTACCTGCTGTGCTATCGATCTAGCCTCCTAGTCCCAATTAGTTCCGTGATTTGAGCTCAAAGCCTATGAGCAGAGGAGTCATCGCTGCTGGAGACCATGGACCTCAGGCTTCTCCCCCTGGGACCCAAAGGTTCCCAGCAGAAGTGGGGAACAGGAGAAATGGTAGAAATCTGTGCAGTGTAGATGGACAAAGAAGCAACTTCTTTGTTCTCACTAACCTTTCACTACAAAATCCTTTACCCAGTGTCTGTGAGTGTCAGAGTCACCGCAGCAGTGTTGCTTCTGCCTCGGATTTTGTCACCATAGAAGTCACAGATATTTTCAGTTCACAATTCAGTTACTGCAGGTATCTCGATATGGTATTCATACTCATCAAAGCTGAAAAATGCGGAACTTAGATTTACATAAAAATACTTTCTTGGATACAATATGATTATACATATGATGATGAATTTAGTATATTCAAGATTTCTACTTCACGGTTCTACTTCACTGGTTTTTTTTTTTTCTTTTGTAATCCTGCTTTATTTCATTCATTTACTTAAAATATCTAAGAAAGGGTTCAGGATTTTTTTTTCATACTTTCAAAGGTATTCATAACAACAACAGCAATTAAGGGCTTGAGCGATAGCACAGCGGTAGGGCATTTGCCTTGCACGCAGCCAACATGGCCGACCCGAGTTCGATTCCTCCGCCCCTCTCGGAGAGCCCGGCAAGCTACCGGGAGTATCTCACACGCACGGCAGAGCCTGGCAAGCTCCCTGTGATGTATTCAATAAGCCAAACACAGTAACAACAAAGTCTCCAATGGAGACATTACTGGGCCCGCTCGAGCAAATCGATGATCAACAGGAGGGCCTTTACCTTTACCTTTACCTTTACCTTTCCAAAGCAGGCATGTGGCAAGTACTTTCACCTTTGCATATTGTTTTTCTAAAGTCAGAAAAATAAAATGTCAAGAGAAGGGAATATCTCCAAGAGCTCATGCCCAGCATTCAGGAGGCCTGGTTTTGATTCTGGCACTGCATGCTCTCCTGAGTACCACCAGGAGCAACCTTATGAGCACCGAGCTGGGAGTAGCCCTCCAGCGCTGCTGGGTGTGACTCCAAACATACACACACATATATACATATATATGAAATTCTTTTTTTTCTTTTTGAGTCACACCTGGCGATGCACAGGGGTTACTCCTGGCTCTGCACTCAGGAATTACTCCTGGCAGTGCTCAGGGTACAGATGGGATGCTGGGAATCGAACCCAGGTAGGCCATGTGCAAGGCAAATGCTCTACGCGCTGTGCTATCACTCCAGCCCTACATGAAATTCTTGAATTGTACGTATGTTTGTTTTGTCCTAAAAATCCATTTAAATACAGCTTTCACATGAATTACTCTTCTTTTCCTTCGAACATTTCAGGTTCTTATTTTCTATCACTGTCCCTTCTACAAACAATACCCCTTCCTGTGGTCAGGAAAGAAGATTCCAGCACCCTGGGCAAATACCACCAGTGTGAACAAACTAATCCTCTTCCTGGAGACCACGCTGAGTGAGCGAGCCCCCACCGGCTCCTTCCACGTCTCTCAAGCAATTCTCACCCCCAGGGCAAAGACCATTGCACGAGGTTTGGTTGGTGGCCTCAAGAACACTCTGGTTCATAGGTAAGAATTTAGTTCCATTCTCAAAGTAAGATTTTGCTTTTAAAAAAAATTTTTTTAATATATCTTGATGCTCTTCTAAATTAGCAGCAGTGGAGTCATACAGTATTTTAAGTAACAATATGACAAAAATCCTTATATTTGCAAAAGATGTGCAAGGTTGAATGCACTAATTGCGATGGCCAAAAGGTCTGCACGTAATTTCTTTCTAGCATGCACTACTCTATAAGTCCTCTCTAAATTTTGATGCTTTAGGCTAATATCAGTCTGTCCACTTCTGGCACCATCTGTCCACTTCGAGCACGTGGCCACTGCATGTTCTTCCCAGATCAGAGGAGTTTGTGCACCTTGTATGTAGTATGGCCAGAGACAAACCATGTTCTTGTCCTTGCAACTGTCCTCACTCCTTTAAGAAGCACCAAGTGAGCTGCTGTACTGGGCAGCAGGGATTCTGAGGTACAGTCCTTGAAGCTTGCAAGGTGTCTTTCTCCCTTTTGTAGGAACAATGATTCCCTAACCCCTGTTCAGGATGCCGCTATCCTGTCATAGACCATAGTACTTCAGAGTGGCATCCAAGCTAGCTAAAGGAGCTCCAGAAATGTCTTAGATGATATTCTTTATCCTGGACACCAACATATGATAGCTTATGATAACAAGAAAAAGGTAACATATATATATGTAACAAGAAAAAGGTAACATATATATACATATATATATATATATATATGAATGTATTTGTACATGGATACACATAACTACCATTGTATAAAACTCCAAGCTGAGGAAACTATAGGTTTGAGTAAAAGGGATACTTGCACGGATAACTTTGGTTCTTCCAGAGTTTAGGCACTAGAGATCAGATAGTGAAAGATTCATGAAAATCATGGCCCTTCCCAGCATCACATAGTTTACTGAGCACTGCCAGGATCGAGCCCAGAATACAGAGCCAGGAGTCAGTAGTGGGAGTTCGTGAAGAATGTCCCAATGTGGCTCAAACCCTCTTCCCGCCAAGAAAATCCATGTACCCTTGGGGTTGGAGAGATAGTACAGCGGGTAGGGCATTTGCCTTGCACGTGCCAACCCAGGTTTGATTCCCAGCATCCCATATGCTCCCCTGAGCACCGCCAGGAATAACTCCTGAGTACAGAGCCAGGAGTAACCCCTGTGCATCGCCAGGTGTGACCCAAAAAGCAAAAAAAAAGAAAAGAAAGAAAGAAAAAGAAAATCCATGTACCCTTTCTCTTTGGCTCTGAGTTCAGACAACTCACTTCAAATGACACCAGTTCAACTGGCATGAGTTTGGATATTGAAGGGGCAGGAATCTGGTTCTGAACCAAAACAGAAACCCAATTAACAGTGCTGAATTTGGAGAAGTTCATAAGCAAGTATGAATTTCTGGCTTTTAGAAAGGTCTAGTATCCTGGCCTTTACTTCTTTATATGTTTTCTTTATATGTTCCTGTATCCACACCTCATTTCTTTGGGAAATTTGTAGTGAATATTTTTATTTATTTTTAGAGAACTATCAAGTGTTTGGGAGATAGTTATTTCAAAGATTCAATGTAGTTTCTGCCTTCATCAAACTTAAAAGTCTAGCAAAAATAAATTTATATATGTATATGTATGTATATATATATATATATATACACACACACATATATATATACACGTAAATTTGGGAGCCACAGAATACTGTGGATAGGGTGCTTGCCTTGCACCTGGCTAACCTGGTTTCTATTTCTGGCATCCCCGTATGTTCCCGTGAGCTGCTAGGAATAATTCCTGGTCCCAGAAGCAGGAGTAACCCCTGAGCATTTCCGGGTGTGGCCAAACCCATCCCCCAGAAAAAAAAAGTAAAGCAGTGTAAAAATAACTAAAAATCTGTGCAGGAAACTGCAATAAGGAGAGATATTATTTAAAAACAAGAATCGGTTATATATATATATATATATATATACTATTTTCTGAATCTAAAATACCTTCCTTCAGATGATTTTATTTGATTCTTAAACTAAGCTCGCCTCTGAAAGGGCCCATTGTCTAGAACACATTATTGTCTGTATTTATGATGGGGCTCAGTGAGGTTTAGTGGCCCGGGCCAACTTCACTAATAAGAGACAATAATATGTATCAATTTTGGACTCCTGATTATTGGTCCATTCACCTTCTCCATGTCCACACTGATTTGGATATAAGATATTCCACAGCCCGGGGTTTTCCATTCCTTCAACCTGTAGTTGTCATCCTAACACCCAAATCAAGTCAAATCTTAACTAGTTACAAATGAACCCAGGAATCCGAATGATTTTCTTACTTGTAAATTCCTAGAACGTTAATCTGACTTCAAATGAAGCTTAAGGCGCCCTTCCAGGTAGGACGTACCCCAAAGCAAGGCTTCCTTGCATGCCAGATTCCTGGCTCCCTGGGGGAGAATGCGGCTAACTGCGATCTTAGAAAGACTCTAGGATGCTTCAGGCCTTGTGTGTCACCAGACCCTTACAGAGGGTGTAGTGTGCATTCCAAAACCTCCTTATCAACTGATGGGAGGAAATTCAGCTTTGGTCAGGAGTTTGCTCCCTCAGGGTGCCAGAAAGACAGTGCAGATGAGAAAATGCTTGCCTGGCATGGGGTCTCCCCCGGTTTCATCCCCTGAGCACTGCCGGGAGTGATTCCTGAGCACAGCTGAGTAAGGCCATAAAACAAAACAACCAAAATAAAGTGTTTGTTTCTCGAGACGGTTAGAGAGATGGAAAAGGAGGTAAGGGATCTTGCCTTGCATGTGGCTGCCCCCATTCTGTCCCCAAGCACTTCTAGGAGTGATCCCTGAGCACAGAGCCAGGAGTATGCCCTGAGTACGGCTGGGTGTGGCTCACTACATATACACAAAAAATGTGTTCCTCCAAACCAGAAGGGCATGCTACTGATTATCATTTCCTCCGGACCAGAGAAAGGCATTAGGAAAGAAGGGGTATTCATAGGCCTTCCCCTGAAGTTCTAATACCAGAATATCTAGCTTCACTCTAAAGCTTGAATGGGATGCCAGCAAAGTCGCCCTGGTCACTTTCTATCAGCTCAGCCTAAAAGTGGAAATCAAGGTATATTTTTCTATCAAGGTATATTTTTCTACATTGAGCTGGAGCGATAGTACAGTGGGTGGGGCCTTTGCCTTGTACGTGGCCAACCCGGGTTTGATTCCTCCATCCCTCTCGGAGAGCCCAGCAAGCTACCAAGAGTATCCTGCCCACACGACAGAGCCTGGCAAGCTCCCCATGATGTATTCAATATGCCAAACACAGTAACAACAAGTCTCACGATAGAGACATTATTGGTGCTCTAGATAATATTGGTGCACTAGAGCAAATCGATGAACAACGGGAGGGCAATGCTACAGTCCTATTTTTCTACAGATGTATGACCGGGGTGGAGAAGGTGAAGGATTACAGAAAATAATTCATTCCCAGACCATAGAGATGGTGAAGGCCAGCACTTGTATCACATGAGATTGAAGCAGCTGCACCGCTGAATCCACAGCACTCCTTATGGTCCCTTGAGCACCACCAGGGGTCACACCTGAGTTCACAGTTGGAAAATCACTTCTAAGCACTGCTGGTGAGGCCCAGCCCCCTCCCTCCCAATTCTCCATGCAAAGCTTGGAATAACTATGATTTATTCCCCTTGGTTCATCACCCTACAAAGAATCATGGCAGATCCAGAACTCCTGACTAAATGTCTGGGGTAGTTTTCCACAAAAATATTTATGGCAGATTTTCAGGAAACTTGCTGTTTCACAGAAGTCAAAGGCACACAAGTTTTGCTTGAGTCTGAGGAGAAAGTACCCATGGGATCTTGCAAAGAAGACAAGGGTTGAAAGTTCAGGTCTGAGATTGAAAGCGGACTTGATCCGTCTTAAGGCCTTTGTGTCTGCCCCAAAATTTATAAACTTAAGTGCTGATCCCAGAATGCCGGTATCAGAAATTTGACTATATTTAAATAGAGTCCTTAACAGTACACTTCAATTAAAACAAAACTATCACATGCACCTTATCCAGTCTGACTGGCATCCTTCTAAGAGAATAGCACAGAGAGACACAAAAGGAAGGAGATTAGCACTCACCAGCAGTGCTTAGAAGCGATTTTCCAACTGTGCACTCAGATGCGACCCCTGGTGGTACTCAAGGGATCATGAGGAGCCATGGAAGGATGATCACATGTGAGCTCATCAAGAAGGCGACCACCTACAAGTCAAGGAGAGATGCCCCAGGAGAACCAAATATGCCAACGCTTTGGTTTTCAACTCCCACTTTCAGAACAGAGAGAAAGCGAATTTCTCCTTTTTCAGGCCCCTCCCCCCACCCCCTCCGCCCCCATTGTGTGGTGTTTTGTTATGGTGGTTCTAGCATACTAACATAGTTCTTAACAATACAGCAGCCTTGATAAGTTCTGTGAGGTCTCTAAGCTGTATTTGCCCCAGGGTTCAATCCGAGTATCCCATATGGTCCAAGCCCCACCAGGTGTGATCCCCGAGTGCAGCCAGGAGAAAGCCCTGAACATATCCCTGCATATGGCCCCCCAAAAACAAACAAAAAGGACCCTAGAACATCCCACAACTTTACAAAGAATTCAAGTTTCTTGAGGGATAATTAAACCTTTCTCCAACATTATTTGGTAAAATTTGCTGTTAGTTGATGTCCAAGTAGGAAAGTAAACATTAATTTTAAAGATGTTAATAGAATTAATTTTAATCACTAAATTTATGGTAGGGATAAATTTAAATGATAGGGAAAAAGTCTGGCATTTAAGTAACTGACAATGGGAAATTATTTTTCACGTTTTTACCTGCAAATAAAAAAATTATGGCAAAAAAAGAAAGAAAGAAAGAGAGAGAGAGAGAAAGAAAGAAAGGACGAAAGAAAGAAAGAAAGAAAGAAAGAAAGAAAGAAAGAAAGAAAAGGTGTGCCCTAGACTCACCCCCAAGCATAGGTCACAAAATGGACATTCCAACTC